TATATATTTTGGGTCATTATCTTGTTGGAAAATCTAACCACGACCCATAATTCTTGGTACATCTTCAACAAGATATTGAGAAAGAATTTGTTAATATAGATCTCCATCCATAATATCTGTGAATATATGAAATCCAATTCTTTCTCATTTTGAAAATGCACCCCACATATAAACCTTGAATGAATGCTTAATGACAATATGTTCTGGTAGCTCTTCACCAGTTTTATATTGAACTTTGGTAGTATTTCAAAATATTTGAAAGATTATTTTATCTGAAAAAACTACCCAGCTCCATTTTTGATGCAAGTAATTTTTGGCCTATTCAATGCAATATTCTCGGTGAGCTGGATTTAATAGTAGTACAGATTTTGATCAAATACATTACTAATCAAGTTCTGTCAGTATTCTAATAATAGTTTATTCTAAAATATTTAAATTTGGATAGAAAGTATTGAGTTTTTCTGCAAGTTTATTGGCAGAAATTCCATGATCTTTTTTAATAAAATTTTCTAATCTTTTCTTTTTTTGAGATGACAATTTGACTGGTCTGTCAGAACAAGGAAGAGGGTCAATTTTTTCATTTTTTTTTAATTTAGCTACATAATAGTATATAGTGGTTTTCAGAATGCCTGTCATTTTAACCAAATGCACTGGCATATGAATACTATTTGCCTATAATACTTGAAAAATATTCCAGCGATGAGCAAGTGATGGTTCCTCCATTTTGATGCACTAGCTAGCAAAATTTTTAAGTTTAACTTGGAAAAAAAAATATAGTGTCATGTTGTATATTCATCCTCAAGAAACTATTTAATTCATTAGGAGCATTGCACAAGAAATGGTGGAATAATAAAATTTTAAAAATTCCAATCCAAAATTCCTATTACTTTTGGCAAGAACTGTAATTATTTCTTTTTTAACTTTAATTTTTTCTTGACTAGAGATAATTAAGATATTAATTGATAAGTAATTTCTTTAGGAATTTTAATTATCAAGTAAAAATTAATTATAATTATTTGATAAAATTAAACAAGAATCACTTTTTCTTTAAAATATCTAAGATTAAAATATATATTATATTCATAAGTTTATTTAAATATTTTTTCTTTATTTTTATTATTATAAATTTTGATTATTAAATTTTCTAATCATTTTTCAAGTCTTAACTCTTCTTTTTCTTTTTTATTTCTTTAGATATTAAATAATATTTTTTAGAATTTCTTTAATTAAATTATAATTATTATTATCTGTTTTTTCTTTTTTTTCAGATATTAGATACTTTTCTTCTAGTAACTCTTTTGCTTACTCAAATTATATATAATTATTATAAATATTAGAATTATATAGAATATAATAATTTTAATTAAATTATCTTTCTTTAACTTAAATCTTTATTTTGTATTATTTATATAATAGATTAGCTTTTATATTATATTTTATGAAGATTAATTTCACTTTGAATACATAGATAATAATTTATATATTTAATATATTAGATTTATTATCATACAGATAATTACTATATGTATCTTTATTATTAATTTAGATAATTAATATTTTTAATTAGATATTCTTTTTAATTATTTTTTTATTTTCTTATTTATTCTTTATTTATTATTATTTATATTTAATTTATTATATTTATAATTATTATTATTTATTAGATTATAATTAGTTATTCTTTAGAAATATAAATTAAGTTAATTAATAAATCATATATATTTTAATAATAAAATCAATATTAATTTATTTATTTTTTATATTTATTTCTTTTATTATAAATAAGATTTATATGTTCTATAATTTTTCTTTAGATCTGAATATTTTTAAATAATAAAAATAATTATAAGTTATAAAATTAAAATTGTTTATATTATATTTTATCTTTTTTATAATTATTAATAAAATAATCTTATAATTTTTTTATAAAATTATTTAAAATTTAATAAAAATTTAGAATATAATTAGTAATTTATAAAATAGAAATATATATATTAATAATTTATTATAATTTCTAAATTAATATTTTATTATTTATTAAAATTTATAAATTATAATAAATATTTTAATTAAAATATAAATTAATATCTAAATTATTTAATAATAAGTTTAAACATTGAATTTATTATAAAATAAATAAATATTATAAGTTAAATTTTTATTAAAAATTATAATTTAAAATATTTATAAAATAAATAAATTATATATTTATTATTATTATTTAATTAATAATTATTTTTAAAATAATTCTAAAATTATAATAAAATTATTTTAAAAATATTTTATTAAAAATATTAAAATGTTAGTTTAAAAATATTTTATTAAAAAATTATGAAATATTATTTAAAAATATTTTATAATTTTATAATATTGTTAAAGAATTTTTAAAATTATTTAAATTAAAAAAATAAAATTAAATTAATTATATTAAATAATTAAAGTTCTAAGATATATAATTAATATAATAAATTATTTAATAAAATTATAATTAATAATTATTATAATTAGATTTATTATATTTAAAAAAGTAAAATTAAATAATTAAAAAAGATATAACTATAAAGAGTTTTTTTAATTATAATTAATTAATAATTAGAAAACTTAAAAAAAGATAATTATAAAGAGATATAACTATAAAAAAATCTAATTATATTAATTTTTTTAAAAGTAATAATTTTTAAATTATAATATTATAATTAAAATTATTTAAATTAATATATTAAAAAATTTTTTAAATTATTTATAAGCAAAATTACTTATTAAAATTTATAAAAAACTAAAATTATAATAACTATTAATATATAATTTGATATAATTTCTGAATTTTAATATTTCTCAAAATAATTTAACAAGTACTTTTTTTTATAAGTTAATTAATAAACTTTAGAAAAAATATAGAAAATAATTCAAAAAATTTTTTTTATTCTTTATATTTATAATTAAATAAAAGTATTTTAATAATTATTAATTGTAAATTTACTTTTCAAAAAAATATTATTTTAACTGTTTCAAAACATAATTATTTATTAATTCACATATAATTATTTTATATGATTTATTCAAAAAAATTCATATGTAAAATAAATTTACTTTTTATAAAATCAATTTTGTATTATTAAGAAAATAAATATTGATTTCATATCAGAATTTCAAGTATAAAAATATATAATTATATAACTAAAAATTTTTCAAGAAAATATTTTAAAATATTATGATCAAAAAATATAAGAAAAGCCTGGCTAAGTTTTTATTAATTTAGTTAAATGAATAAAAGCAAGATATGAGAAAGAATTAATATTTGTTTAAAGAATGTCAATTTGCTAATAAAATCATTGTTAATAAATCTATATTTTATATAATGAATCTTATCATTATATTCATCATATAGCAAAAGCCTAAGTAGAAATTATTCTGATTGAATAAAAAAATTATAATTAAATCTTTGTTGCTGTAACAATATGTTCACCCCTTTAAAAAATATTCACCACTGTTTCGAAATGATAAATCGTTCCGATAACATTATATTATCCACTATGTGAATTGATCGAGCCCTGACTGTTTATCACTAATTAGATAATAATGCAGATTTATTGATATTGGCGTCAGACCTAGTATGATTTAAAGATACATGCTCGAGAAAAGAAAAAAAAATGATTCGAGAAACAAAATTTGTAGGCGTATAGATTTAATATAAACAAATGATATTAGAATTATTTTCCGTAACTTTTATCAGTCATAATGAATATTTAGAACAATCTTAAAGAAATCTTTCCATTACGTCATTTCGAAGGCTTAATTTATAATGCTACTACTCTATTCTAGGAGAATTGAATGCTAAAAAAGCTATTGATTTTTTTACGAATCTGAATCAAAACTAAGGGTGTTTAAATGCGTCATTTTAAAGAAGAGAGAGGTAGTATAAAAACAAAAATATCTTTATATCGATACACTACCAATTATCACGTGCATGTACATGCAGGTAAAGTTTCTCCACCGATTTTGTACATGTATATGGCATTCATTCGTCTCAATTTTTTTCTAGTGATCTTTTGTAAATTTTCCGAATATAAGATTGAAGACTAAAAACACGTTTATGATTGTCATAATTATTATTAATAAATGCTGATCCCACATATCTTTTCACGGGGTTATATCAAATGAAATTATGATACACTTTGCATGTTACATGTATTATGTTTATTGATATTTACACATGATATTCGACTATTTTTGCTGCATGCATCTGTGTAATTCGCTAAACACATTTTGCATTGCATAGAACATGTATATCGTTATTCTCGTATAAATTTATATTAAGATACTTTATAAATTTTCATGTGCTATTTACTTATATACACATGTGTGGCGTGCTTCTATAGATATAATATAAATTATATAGTTTTTAGAATTGATAAAGATAAATAAATTGGAGATAGATAATGCTTTTGCTCTTTTATATTCCTCTTTTGAGGATTGACAAATTAATTTTTTCACATTTGGTATAGAAGAAGCAAAGCATTGATCTTAAAAAGCATAACCGACGCAGTGGTTGAAAGAATAAAACTGTCAAGATGGATCGCAAAAAGTATGTGTCACTGCAATTCGCTTTTGCACGATTTTTTCACGCATTTTTCACGCGACATTGTTTATCTATTTACAATTTTTATTTTTCACCTGAAGAACGAATTTAGCAAATAAGGATTTTAATATGCGCAAAGTAAAATACGATCACAATAAAAATTATACTGTGTAATATGATAGAAATTTATGCTGATTCATTCTATATATCAACTGATCCTGATATTTCATCATCATCATAAGTAATCAAGTAGCAGATATAGCATAGAAGCAGCATTCTTAAAAGATATATAAGTAAGGTTGTCTGCAAAGAAAACTTTTAGACTTAACTAAAAAAATTTTACATTTTGCTCTTGCTTCCAAAAAACCGATAATAATTATCATAATTTCTATTTCATATTTCACATTTCTTCAAATAAAAAATGACTCGCAAAATCATCGTCACCGGCATTTCCCCAACTGCATCAGAAAAGACTGGTAAGTTTATTTAGAAAGATATTTTGCCAAATATCACGAGTCATTCAAAAAAGAGTTTTAATCATAAATATTTACTCCTCCCTCGCTTCGCTAGTCAAGGATTTCTTCCTGTTCTGTGGTAAAATAAAAGAATTTGAACTTTTCAAAGACGAGACTAGTGATAAACAAATCGCATATATTACTTTCGAACGAGGTAGAGTTCACGAAAATATTATGAGAAATTTTTCTTTTTTCTTTTTTTAATTTTAACTTAAATTTTTTTTTTCCTTAATAAAAAAGAAAACGCTGCAAAAACTGCTCTCATGTTGACGGCCGCAGTAATTGGTGATAGTCAAATTACAGTCAGATCTGCTGATGACCCTACTACCAACGGTGTCGATGAAGTGTACGACGCTGAAGAAATATCTCAAGAGGAAAAGGTTCGTCGCCACTCTCGTAGCCACCTCCTGGTGAGCCAGATTGAGAATAATAACCACCTTGTTTAATATTCTTTTTTTCTTTTTCCGGAAATTGTCATCAACTAAAATCACCTCTATTTATAGCCAAAATCGGCAATCTTTGCTGAAATCTTGGCCGCAGGCTATCAATTATCCGACCACATTATCGAAAAAGGCCTCGAATACGATCGTACATATGGAATAAGTCAACGTGTAAAGCAATGGTTACAAGCTATAACGACAAATCTCTGGAAATGGGATGCCAAATATAAAGTCTACGAAACCATCACTGAAAAAGCGACAGAAATCGATGTTAAATTCGCTGTACAAGATAAGGTCAAATCTACAGCCGCATATGCCCAGGACAGAGCAACTGTGGCACTGCAAACTCCAATTGGTAAACGTGTGGCCGATTTCTACACTTCAACCACAAAAACTGTTGCTGATGTTCATTTTGAAGCAAGACAGCTTGCTAATGACAAAAAGACTCAACGAGAATCAAGTGGTAGTATCGAAGCCATCGAAGTAGCCGCTCAATAATATTATCAATAATACGATTCATCTATTCAAAACCTCCACATTATCCACTCCATTGCACAGCATATCATATCATCATCACTTATAACAACATATATTTTAATTTCTTTATTTTTTAATTATTCATCTCCTCTAACACACGCTAGTCGTAGTTTTGAGATACTCCTAAATTTTTATTAGTAGTATTAGTAGTTCGATTTGAAGAGATTTAGAATGTTAATTCAACAGTGATCGGTTTATATTCTGTCAAAAAGCTTTTAGATACTTATATTTCTAATCAATACAAATAATTATTCTTATCGTTATATTCAAAAAAAAGCGTGAATTCTTTATAATTGGTCATTTTTATTTGGTTTAGGAAATAAAATTTACTATTGAAAAAATGATAGAGAACTTCGTTTTCAATAAATGATTGTGACGGAAAGACCCGCTTGCGCGTCCATTTATTATAATGTTAATCATTTGTTCCATTTTTTACTTTTCGCTCGATTTCTTAGATTTTTTTCGTTTTCAACAAATAAAAGTCTCCTTTTTTCTTCCCAAAAATGGCTCATCGTCGATAATTCCTAAGTTAAATCATAATACCGTAATTCTCGGTAAACAGTACCCCTTGATAAAGCACCCACCACACTTTTCTAGAATGTAAGAGACTCGGGTACTATTTGCCGAGAATTACGGTACATGTATGATTGGTAGTTTGTGGTTATACGAATTTATATTAAATTTAATTTTACAATATTTAATATTGATAAATGAATACAATATTGTATTGTATCATTATAAAAAATACTTTGAGCTAATTTTTTCAAAGTGATTAAACACATTAATGAAAATTTAATTTACCACATCATTTGGCTATGAATATAAATTCTATCATTTTTTTTTTATAAAGCTTTTGTGAAATGCAATTTTTGTTTTTCTTCTTTATGCAATATAAGACAGGCGTTTTATAACTTATGTTCAGTACCCCAAAAGTAACGCCCGATTTAAAATTATATATTTTAGGAAACACTTGTAATAAATAATGTATGTTATAAATGTTAACAATAATCGTAATATGCTCCTGTTATAGAAAAGTTGTATATTTTTATACGCGTTTAAAATAACCTATTTAAGAAATGTTGTGTTGTTTATTAATAAATATAAAAATTATGGAGCTTGGCTAGCTTTCCTGCGTATCGCGGGCTATATTATGTTGTGTTTCAGAATGTTTATCACCGGCTTAAACACCGTTCTTGCTCTATATTCTGATTCATGGTAGTGACACTTAGATATATAATCCACGGTAAGGTTGCCCATGAACAGCATTTTGCGTGGTAAAGTATCACTAGCCTAAACACCCGTTCTTGCTCTTCACTCTGACGCGGTTATACTGTCCATCTCTTCTTTTTTCTGCAACTCATAGCATACATGTTAAATAACAATTTTTATTATCCAATACATGCATCGCATCTTACACATGTTAGATATCAAAAACCCGAGTAGGGAGAAACTTCAACATTAGGCACTACGGCTATTATACTGTAACCGAAAAGTATTATTAGATAAGACGAGATGAAGTACTCGAGCCCTAACCTGTAAAGTGAGAGTTCCTTTACTACAGATTTCCGAAGAAAACTACCCAAATATTTCTATAGTAGCCCAATTACCTGAAACCCGCAGAGATCTTATTTCGATAGAATAGAAGCATAGGCAAAATTTCGGACCTATTGTGAATTTTCCGCATTAGAAATTAGCAAAGTAGAAAAAATAAGAATTCCTGAATCGCTCTTACCTTTATGCTTCATATTACTAGGACCCACAAGAGAGCCAAATTTTTGAATTTTTTTATGTTAACGTCATGGTTATCTAATATTCAATTACATTTCTCTTTATTGACACTTTAATGAATTAATCAAGATCATTGTATTATTTTCACGTCGTTATTCGGACGGACTTATTCTCTAAAATAATTACAACGTCGAATTTTTGTAATGATTGATTTTTAATAAATATTTACATGTGCACTCTAAACAGTGCGACGGAAATATCATTAATGGCAGAGCTTTCTAAGATACCAAAAGACAATTACAATTACTGAATAAATAGTTTACAAATAGATTAATTAAATTTATTAGGTTCGAAAGAAGGAAATAATATTACATGTGGGTAAATTCGGAATTTAATTCTATCTCAGCGAAATAATTTATTTGGGAAATTTTTAAAAAGGCACATCTTCAATTAATAACAATTTTATACATTATTTTCAATACGCTGTGTCTGGGACTATTTAAGTGCAAAGGTGTATTTTTGATTAGCATCACGGATTAATAATTCTTTTGGTTGAAAGAAGACACAGATTCATCTTATTTGTTGTTCTATTACCTAAACTTTCGTTATTTTTTTTTCTTGATTAATTACATAGAATTAATAGACTATAGTATACGTAAATACATATGAAATGATAAAGTTTGAGATGACACGTATGTGTTTAATTGCGATCGAAAGAAAAATTTGACAACTATTACCGTTTTCTCTGTTATCAAACATTTTTTTTTGTTTAATCCAATAATACCAATTGTTTTTAACTTTTACACTCATTAATTTCTTCTGTTAAATATGCTTTCAGCTTTACGTTGTGTTTTTTTCTTCTCATTAATACTATTACAGCTACTAAAAGCAAAAACAAGCATGTTAAATATGCTAAGCGTGGACGCGACAGAAAAAAATTCTTCAAAAAGCAATAGTAATAATATACTATCGAAAAGTATACCTTCGAATCAAAATGGGTATTTGGATCCAAAAATTTACCCGCCTCTAGATCAACCACCACCCATTAATTCATCCTTTGTTCAAGAGTGGGCAAAGAAAACTGATTGGAATCAGGTACCGAATTTCCGAAGTACAACCCCGGGAAATTGTAGCGATATTGAACCAGACGCGTGCAACTGGTATGATTTATATTGGAATTATATGGTGATTAAGAAGTAAATTAATGTGATTTGAATTTTTAGGGCATGTCAAAAGTGCGAACGACCATCTGATATTGTCGTCTGTCCTGGAAAGGAAACATGGGGAATGTCATATGATGATGGACCTTCGTGAGTGCATTCGATTTCAGATAAAAATTGTAAAAAATTTGATTATTAATCTTCCGAACGCACAAATCAGCGTCTATACACCAAAAGTACTGGATTTACTGCAGAAATATTCTTTACATTCGACACTTTTCGTGGTTGGATCGCGTGTAGTACAACATCCGTTGACATTGATTGCTGCTTATAGAGCAGGTCATCATATCGCGTGAGCATAAAACGATTAACATAAATTTCACTATTCATTTCATTAGCTAATCTTTATTAATTTAGAGTTCACACATGGTCGCATCGTAGTCTAACAAGTTTGGATAATCTAACGATTATCGCGGAATTACAATGGACGCAAAAGATTATTTATGACGTGTTAGGTATCACGCCTATATATATGAGACCGGTAAATTTTAATTCTTGATCAAACGTGATGCGTATGAAGGACTAATAGTTTTTTCTTAGCCTTTTGGTGATATTGATGATCGTGTTCGCAGTATCGCCGTTCAACTTGGATATATAGGTAAGCACATGTACATTATCGTTATATAAAACTCATGAGCAAGATCTCTAATTCTCGCAAAATTTATTTGCTTTAAATAGTTTCAATATGGACTCGGGGATTCGACACTCAAGATTGGCAACTCCCCGAACACAAAGTAACTCCACAAGAAGTAATCATAAACTTCAGCTCTTTTCTACAAAATTCCACGAAAATGAACTCTGGATTCATCGTATTGCAACATGATCTTTGGCCCGAAACAGTACAAATATCAGTCGACGTGATTCTTCCGACTGCAATAAACACACCAAATATGCAAATCATGTCGATTTCAGAGTGTTTGGTTGATGGAAAGCCATATAAAGAAGGCGTAGCTAATTCAAACAAGATCAATTCCTTACTTGATGGGAATCAGAGTGATGATGGGATACGTCCGAATACTACGATGATGATTAATTCTGCTTTTTCTGTAAGGAGTTGTGGACTTTGGATTTGGATTGGTTTATTTATTGTTACCTTTTTGTCTTTATGGAGTTTAAAAGATTAGTTCCTTTCCCATCATCATCATCATCATCATCATCATCATAAAACAGCAGATAAAAATCACTCATTAGCAAAGGGTGAACTTGGACATTTTTTATTATATCATAAATCATTGAAAATCATCGGTCCTGGATATAAAGCATGTTACCAGCCATCATCTTTTGCATACATAACAACTATAGTCTATTAATGTTTTACTTTAGAATCAAACAGAGTATCTTGTTTCTTTAATAATATGAATATTAACGATATTTCTCTAAAATTGATTTTAACATTCAATTAGAAATAGTTTATTTAACGTTTCATATTGCACAATTGTTGAAAAATCAAGACCGTACAGCTAAACAAGAAAAAGTCAACATTTTTAATATGCAAAAACGAAAAAATTGCTATTACGTAATATAGTTACTTCGCTCACATGCTTAGATTGAATTGCGATTTGTGCAAAAATTTAAAGTTGTCAACGCATTTATAAAATTTCGCGTTCCTTTTACTTCATAAAAGTTAATTTATCCTTTAATCAGTTATTGAAAACCATCTCGTTCAGGCGAAAATGACACTAAATCTATTGTCAAAAACAGAGATAAGATTGTTAACACTGAACTTAACTTTTATTCATTCTCTTGTTAAATAAAAATAAATGATTCCACTGAATATTTTAATTTCTATATTACTTTACATAATAAAAACTTTTAAAATATTAATTAATTAAAAATATATTAATAATATTTAAGGTTTTATTTTGAAAAATTAAGAATTAATTATTATAGTAATTAATTATTACATAACGATAATGTTAATTTAGTATATCAACACAGCCAGTCGTTAAATAATTCATATAATATTATGAAATAATGACAAACGAGAAACCCTGACGGAGGAAAACATCGATAACGACTAATCAAGTCCGGAAAGAAAAGGTGTTTTTAAAACTATCAATATCAAAAATTCCCGATATACACTTCACGTCGGTATCCTTTTTATGAACTATCACTTCGTAGGAAGTTTTTAGTTTACCAAATACAAGGTACTGGAAAATTAAGAATTGTCACGATTGGAAAAAGTTATATTTTAGCTTTTAAGAAGAAATTAAAGAAAAAATTACGATAAACCAATTAAATTTTACCTGAGGTGAATTTTTGACAGTCACCGCATCACGAGGGAAACACCTAAGTCTTGCTCTGACCTTCTCTATTTTTTTTTAAAAAATTTAAACAGAATATAGAAAATATTTCTTAGATTCTCTGGAATCTACAATGCAAAGTATAAAATAGTATGAAGAAATTATACCATCTTTTTCTTCTCCAGTTCCAGTCCATGCAGTTTCTACAATCAACTTATCGCTTCCAGCTTTTTTGACGTTGACCAGCAAAGGTACAACTTGTTTGATGGGTACATTGTCGTCGGAAGAAGCGCTAACGAAGAGAAGAGAAAAGACAAATGCGAGAATAAAAATGGATTGGCGATTCATTGTTTATTAAGCTTGTAGACTATTTAATTTTTGTTTTTGATAGAAACGGTGAAATAAAATGTTTATATATAGAGAAAAAACACGTCGAAATTTTCAGATAACAAATTAATTAAAGAATCAAATTATGGTATATTCATATGGTTATCAATATAGTTATACAAGAGCAGAACCTTTTATATCATCTATATCAGGTTCATAATCTATATTATAGGATCGATTGGTAATTCAACATCAGAACATGCAATGTAACACAACGTTAAATGCCCATTTATCGTTATTAATTATGGTTTATTAATTTAGCCCACGTTATCGGCTCTCCTTTGAAACTTATCGCTACAGGTATTGCGATTGAGATTGACTTTTCTCTGTTCCAATTTTTTAAATAGGCTATTTGACTGCCTATTCCTAGTTTTTAAATAAGGAAAGAATCGAGAGGCTCAATCACGATAATCTGATAGTTCACAATTTTTACGATGTTTATTAATTATTAACAAAGTGATACTTCACATATTTCTTATTGATTTTTGATATTCTTTATTAAAGCATGGCAAATGTTCTAATAAGGATCGAATATTTTCATCTACCGTAATTTGCCGCATAAATGATCCCAGGTCTGTTACTTTAAACCTGTCAAAAAATTGATTCAGATGGAGGTTCTTGCAGCTACATATAAAATTTTCAATCCCTATCGTATTACCATATAACACTTAATATCTTTTCATGGTGACAGAATATCCCGTTCTACTAAGTGAGGGTACTATAATGGGGTTGGTTTATGCGGCAAATTACGGTATATTATCTTGGTAATAATGAGGCATTTGAATCCATTATTACTACAGTAACCTTTTCATAGATGCACACCCTCTCTGTGTGCATATTAAAGATGCTTGCCTAAACTATTTTGAAAAAAATGTTTCAGCCATTGATGATTAAACTAATTAACGCCCTTTGGTTAAACTTACCAAAGTTTCAACAATAAAGTTTTTGAATTTAAAGTTATTTAATAAAAAGAGTTTGAATTAGTCTCAGCTTTTTTTCATGCGACTGATCTTATGTTTTACACATGCAGCAATATTGGAATAACATACATACATGATAATTATATAGTGATAATCACAAGTGGTAATTTGCGACATAGTAAAGTGGGTGATATAAATCTGAAGTCACAACAGATTCAAATAGTAGCAACAAATTCAAGCTTACCATATTATTAATTTTATTAAGTGATTATTAAATAATTTTGTGCTGATTACTCGTAAATTACTAGGTAATATATGGATTTATTAAATTATGACATTTTAACGGTAATGCGAACAACAATACAGTATGAATAACCCAGATCAGTTTGTTATTTTAAAAACTCGAATTCGTTAACATTCACAACATATTATCGTTATAAACGTAATAACAGAGCAAATATGGTATGAACCATGCTGGTGGTAAGTTTTATAGAATCCCATACCATAACCGGTTAAATTTTCTTTCACAAATATGGTATCGAAGTTCTGATTGGTTCAGAATATTAAAGACCGATTTAATATCAGGTTTAGGTTAGGGTCGAATATGAGGAAAAATTTATAATTGTCTCCCCGACATTTTTAATTATTGCTTAAGTATACGTTTTCCGTCTTTTTTACATTTTCACTTCCTTTTGTATGTCGGGTCGATCGTGTTTTCTTATTGGAACAGTCAGCCAATCAGTGGTCTGTTTTACTATCATGAATTGATTAGAATCGAATATTCATGGTTAGTTCACAATCTCAATTTATACGATGCGTAGAAAGAAAAATTGTGTCGAAATCGTTACGCAATTCAAAGCAAATTATTCCGGTGTTTATAAACGAGGTAAAAAAATGAGCATTATCTAAAAGGAAGGTTGCTTTATGTTTTTCTGATACAACAAATTTTTCAAAAATGCTGTTAGAATACTGAATATTATGGATTAACTATAAATCCAGCTACGAATGCCTAATAGTAATGCTTATGCAAGAGACGGTGATCTTCGTAAATATATTATATAACTTTGGGATGGTTGTATACGAGGTTATAACCGGTGAACGACCATTTGGTGATCAAAGTCATGATCCGGGTCTTGTATCAATGGAATACGATCTACGATACCAAATATATTCCAATATATTTTGAAAAATGCTTGGTTCCTATTCCAGAAAAACAAATCGACTACTGTGGAACTTTTTGACTTTATCTACGAAGACGACTATATCAACCATAGTTGCTGGAAACCGAATACTTTGCATTTTCAGTGCTACAGTTCTTTAGGGTATCCTAAAACAAATGAAGTAATTAAAGAGTGTGTTAAACTAGAACAGCAGAATGAAAAAACTTAACAAAGATAAGGAGAAGAAATGAAAAAAGTTGATTCCATCAAAAAAGGACAAATCCAGCATATGTGCAAATATTTTATTGTTACTTAATAAAAAAAAGAATTACACTTTATTCTATAATTGTTTACATGATAATATATGATATAACAATGTAATATAACATATCTGAAAATGTTTCTCTTGAAATTGATATTCTTATTAAGATAATTCATAAGTTTTTATTAAGCTCATAAAATTTTTCAAAGATTTTCAAGTAATATTATAAAGAGAATATACATGATAAGAGAAATAATATTAGTAATAATAAAAAATTTAATATATTTTGATTAAGATTTTAATTGATCAATATTTATTCATGAAATTAATAGTATTATAAATAAAAAGATAATAATAATATTTATTTATATATTTTTATTAATAAGTTTTTTATAATTTTTATTATATTATTTCAATATCAAGTCAAATTATTAATATAATCCAGTGCAAAAAGATTGATACATCAATATAAAATTAATAATTGCTTCTAATAAAAATTATTCAAACTTTAACTAATCTTTATAATTTTTTTATTTTAATAATATAAAAATTTAAATAATAATTAATTTTTTTATATTTTATTAATATAATTTATAATAAAGAATATATTTTTTATTATTTAATTAATAATAAAAAAATATAATTATATTAACATTTAAATAGTTTAAATAATTTAAAATTATAATATTATAAATTTTTTAAGATTTTAATATATAAAAATTTATTTTTTAATATTATAAGTTATTTTATAAATTTTATTATTTTTTAATTAAAATATTTTATATATATTTATTATTTTAAGAATTTTATAATATATTTATTAATAATAATATTTTCTTTTTTTAATTTATATAATTTTAAAATTATATAAAATTTTTAATTATTATATTTTTTTATTATAATTAATTAATAACTAGAAATTTTAAAAAGAATAGCTATAAAAAATATAAATATAAAGAAATATAATTATAAAAAATAGAGATAAATATTATTAATTATTATAATTATATGATACTTATTTATTATTAATTTTTTATTAAGTTATAATTAATTATAATTTAAGATTTATTAATTATAATTATATAATACTTATTTATTATTATTATTAAAAATATTTTTATTTATAAAAAAACTTAATTATATATAAATATTTTTATATTTTATTTTTTTAATTAAAATTTTATTTTTTAAATTATTTAAAATTAAGAATAAATTAAAAAAAATAATTTAAAATTAAAAAACTTAATTTTTCACTAATAAAATTATTTTTAATATAATAAATAAACTTTTTTATTAAGTTAAATTCTATAATATAATTAATATTTCTTAATTAAGTTATTATATTTAAAATTTTAAATAAATTTATAAAAAAATAATTAAAAATAAATAATTTTTTCTATTTTAATTTAAAAATTTTAAAATAAATTTGTAAAAAAATAATTAAAAATAAATAATTTTTTCTATTTTAATTTAAAAATTTTAAAATAAATTTGTAAAAAAATAATTAAAAATAAATAATTTTTTCTATTTTAATTTAAAAATTTTAAATAAATAATCTCTTTTTAATAATTAATTTTTTTAAAAATTCAAATATAATATTTTAATATTTAATTATTTAATTTAGAATATTTAATTTATTTAATTTAAATAAATTTAATATTTTATTTAATAGTTAAATATTAAAATATTATATTTCAAAGCTATTAAATTTTTAAATTAATAATTTTAAATTTTTATTAAGAAATAAATATATATAGTAATAATCAAAAGTAATAATTTAAGAGTTAAATTTATTAATAAAATATAGTGAAAATTAAAATTTTCTTTCTATGTTAAAATTTATAATTTTAATAAGAAATAATTTTTATTTTTATATTAAAATAAAGCTTATTAATTATAATTTAATATATATTTTTTTCAGATTTTTTAGATTTTTTCTAAAAGAGTTGCTCTAATTATAAAGTTAATGCAAAAAATTTTACTAATTAAAAATAAATTTAATTAATAAAAATTTTCACAATAACTTTACAATTAGAGTAACTCTTTTAGAAAAAATTTAAAAATCTAAAAAAAATATATATTAAATTATAACTAATAAACTTTATTTTAATATAAAAATAAAAATTATTTCTTATTAAAATTATAAATTTTAATATAAAAAGAAAATTTCAATTTTCACTATGTTTTATTAGTAAATTTAGTCTCTGAGTTATTATTTTTGGTCTTTATTATATAATTTTTTATTATATATTTAATTAAAAAATTTAATAAATAATAGATAAATAATTAGAAATAATTATAATAAATTAACTAAATAAGTTAATCTATAAATTTTAATTAATTAATATATTTGTTTTAATTTTACTAAAATATATGAATTTTATAAGTTTAAATCTTTTTATATAAAGTTATTTTAAAAATTTAACTAATAATTTTATAAAAATTATTATAAAATAAAGTTATTAATTAGTTTTTTAAATATTTTAAATAAAAATCTTAGACTTTTAAAAAATATTCATTTTGATCATATAATTATTAGAATATAGATTATTTAAATTATATTAAAAAATATAATTCTAAATAGAATTTAGTTATATAAATCTTAATATTATATTAATAAATAATTTGAATTCAGATCATTAGATTGATAATGAATTAAATAATTAATATTTTCACATGATTCTGATTACTAAGATATTACTTTTCAATATATAGGTAAGAAAAAGCTATAAATATTGATTTGATAATTTTGATTATTTTGACTAAATTATACATAAATTTAACTAGCATTAAGAAATTAAGCCACAATTCAGACCACATATTCAAAATTTTGATTATAGCTTTGGCTCTAAAATTAAAGACACTAAATAATTTGGCCAACATTAAAATCAAGCCATAATGAGACCAAATCATATGACTTTAAATTAGCCAGCATTAAAAGAAATTAAGTTATAATTTGGGGCTTTGAGTCATGTAACTCTATAACAAAACCCTTTGAAACCGAAAATTCAATTATTTTGAAAATTCACAGAAATTTCGATTTATTGCAATTTATTTCTAAAAATTTTGCAGTCCTGCTAGGCATGATGATGGATCGAATGGTGATATTTCATGCGATTACGTTAGCTAATTATCGAGATATCGCATATTTTTAAATGTGTCATAATACTCTTGTGTATCATTTTAAAATATCATACGAAAAATAATATTTTTTTAAAATTTATTGTAATATTACTTTTTTCTAAAGTTATTCAGAAATGAATCTTCATTTTCAGCCAAATCATTAACAAAACATGTTCTCCTTTATGAAATCTAGCTATATGCCCAATTTTCAACTAAATCTGAGTATCAATATGATGTTCTTCCGAATATCAAGGTATTATGTCGCAGTTAAAATAGTTACTAAACAAACTTTTTACAAAATTAATATATTTACTATTTTCTGGCATTTCGATTTGAAATTCTAGCGCTTCAAACATTGGTCTAACGCTCATAAGTTTCCATACTCATTTTAAAGATGATAACCCAGAGAATTTTTAATTCCCATTTTAAGAAAATTGAGTGATCTACGCGAATTCTTTCGCAAAACGTTTCGTGATCTATTACTTTTGAGCGCCACTGTAAGTCATAGAACAGATTTTTTAATATAAAATTCCCTCATAGATATACTGTTGATATCACTATCAACCAGTGTTTAAAATATTATTGCGGAAGCGCTTGTCTTTTTATAATATAACATGCGCATTTTTTTAAAAAATATGTAAGCGAAGTCTAAAAAATTTATGCGCATATTGTAAAATCTTTTACAAAATCCAAATTATAATTTTACGGTAATAGTGATAAATCAATTTTTACTTTTGATTGAATAGAAAAAAATGCATGCACCTGTGATTCGACTCGCGTAAACTGTTCATCAAGTTTTTTCTGCCACTCTAGTGTATTCTAGTACCAGAAATGGCAATTTATTCAGTTTCGAATGAAGTTTTTTGCATCTACGCAACCATATTGTCAAATCCTTTTATCATTGAATATAAAAACAAATGTATTTTGGAGTAAACATTCGACCCGTGTAAACTGCGATTCTATTTTCTCGTCAAGTTTTTTTCATCTTTGTCATTCTAATTTAAGATATTCTCCATTTTTTTAGTGAAATGTAGTGCAAGAAATACTATTTATTCAGTTTCCAATGAGTTTTCTGGAACACAGTAGTTTTTTCCTGTACAACCCCATCAGACCTTTTTATCATTATTCAATTACCATAAGCCATTGTAATTTACATTTCTTTTATAGTTCTTGTTAATCTCGCTATTTCTTGATGTTTTGGTCTGGACAAATGGCAAATTATGTCATTAAAACATCATTAGAGAGATCACTTCTCCGGATTTTGAATTTGTGTTATCAAGCAATCTTCTTTGATGTGTATCGGGCGTAAAAACAAGTTTAAACGTAATAGAGAACCGAAAGCAAGTACATTAGATTTTGATTAACGCGTGTGCAGATACAATTGTAGTTGTCGATACTAATGACACGACCAGAGAATAGGAACGGGGTAGATCCTAGGGCCGGCGTGTTTCTCTCATATAATTGAGCTACTTAATTCACTTGATCTTGTATAATAATCAATGTTTCATTGAAAAATTAAAGTTCTTTTTGGTAGGTTCGAAATTCATTGATTCTAGTATGACGTTATCCAAAGATTATTCTGTTACATTAGAAGAATCCTTGCGTAGCTTACTATGAACTTCCCGTAATTGGATTCTTTGCGTAGTTTAATATGAACTTTCTATAGACGGAGCTTAGCATATACTTTCCCGTAAGTGCATTTAAATATTCGCCTTCAACGTATCTACTTTTTTTATAAAAATATTACTTCTTTACTTATCTAAAGAGACTATAGTCACCAAATATCAATTAGTCGCTGGTTTCAATATTCATTAATTCACAATGCACGCGTTCTATGTTTTTAGCTCTTTAATCTCTCTTCTGCTATTTGTTGATGCGTTACCTCATAAACGATCTACCCCGATTAAAATTCCATTGAAGAAGTCAATCACGAATGAGATAGTATTGGACGAGGTAGACGGAGGTTTAGACATCGAATATTACGGACCAATCACTATCGGCAATCAAAATTTTAAAGTAAAATTCGATACGGGATCTGCTGATCTTTGGGTTCCATCTGTAGATTGTGTTAAAGTTGCATGTTATAACAAAACTAGATATAATAAAGATAAGGATCCAACATTCAAAGCTCTTAACAACAATTTCTATGTCGAATATGCGTCAGGATTTGCATCGGGAAAGTCGGGGCAGTCAGATTTTTCCATTGCGGGCCTTCAGGTGAAAGGCCAAAGTTTCGGATTAGTCGATGAACTTTCTGAAAATAGGAAAAATAAACCATATGACGGTTTAATGGGAATGGCATATGATAATTTAAGTGATAACAAGCAAAAAACACCAATAACTTTACTTGCAGAACAAGGTCTAATTGATCCGATATTCGCCTTCAAGCTTGGAAGAGATGCAGATAAAACGGCGAGCGAATTAACGATCGGTGGGTGGGATTCCATGTTCAATAATAAGATTTATTGGACAAATGTAGTGACGAGTAAAAGCAAGGGTTATTATTATTGGGAAATTCCCCTCGATGATAGCTTTGTCAATGGTAAATCGTTAGGATTAGGCTTTCAAAATCGTACTGTAATTGTTGATACCGGAACCACAATTATATTCGTTCCGCCACAAGACGCCAAAGAAATTTACAAAGGCATTCATGGTACTAACGGCACGTTCTTTTTTCCTTGCCATAACGCGCCTAAAGTTAGCCTGAAATTCGGAGGAAAAACTTGGGATATTGATATCAGAGATCTGGTAACTTCAGTCGGTAACGGATATTGCATTGGAAATATTCGGGAAGATCCCACATCAATAACTCAATGGACGCTTGGTGATACCTTCTTAAAGAATGTATATAGCGTGTTTGATCAAAGTACTAATCGCGTTGGATTCGCATCTTTGATTTAAAGCTAGCAGTGATTGATTGTTTTTATTGTATAGATATACCTAAAAAAACAATTATTTCAATGATTTTTATAACAACCACATTTTTTAATTATCGTTATTTAAAAGAATTTCTTTGTCACACATCCCATACTAATTTGGTTAACATGAAATATAATTTTTGGTTTTAAAGTAATATGCCTGATTCTTTTTTCAATGATGTGCTTATCAAAGATGCTATCTAAAAGAAATAGAGTATGATGAACTGGTGGTTCAAAAAGTTCTTAATAAAATTTAAAAATTTTAAGTTATCATACTCATTACCGGGTTTTTTAATTATTTCAATCCAAAGTAATTGGTCCCGATTGTCTTGTGATTTTGACACCATTTTTATTTGCGCTACCATTTGATTGGTTAAGGTGCATATCGGATGTCGGGAGACAGTTCGGAATCAGATGATCTGTCATTTTTTTGGCTAGTTGTTCTTGCTGTGCAAGTTGTTCTGTTCTACAATGAGTGTACCCAAGCAGAAAACAACAGAGAGAGTCTCTGCAAGCTCATCACGAAACAGGGTAATTAAAAATAAATTTGGTATTTTATATAATTCAATTCTAATTACCGTTTTATGGAAACTAATAGGATGGTCAATTTAACCATGCGCATCTGCGCGATACAAAACATTTAGAATTTCTTGATAAATGGGGGAGTGATCGATTACCAAATGACGGTAAATATTAATTTAAGTTTATTATTATAAGGCGAGCATTATTAAAGTTTGCAATAAACAGAGATTGCAGTGCCATTAAAGTACCAACCTTCCAGTTCCGATGATAACGACGATGGTAAGCATTTTTCCTTTAAACAAAAGTAAAAGAGATGTATTAAACTTGACTTTTTTGAAATAATGCTCTCATGTTCTTTCTAAAAAAAAAAAGCCAATTTAATTGCTGAACAACTTCAAACAGCGCGTAAATGGAATGATTTAGCGTTGAATTTCCTGAATGATGAACATCAAAGGCAAACAAATACTCATGGGCATCATCAGCATCATCCACAACAAATTCATTAAACTAGCAAATTTGTGTCCATGCATTGTTTACGCGCAAACTTTGTTATAGTTTTAATCTGGCTAAGGCATTACAAAATAATGTATCCAATTCATGTCTTAACTTATTATGCAAAGTAATTATCGTTATTGCTTGAGATAACACTGATGTATAACTTTTAATATATGTACTTGTTTTATAATGAAAGTTTTCCTGAAATACGTGTAATTCAATTCCTATCCCAAATTATACTATTCTTGGCAAAACTGTTAAGATTATGTACTGGTCGAACAGGGTAGGTTTCACCTTGGGTAAAACCAGGGTTAATAAACAAAAATATGTGAAAAACCTGGCTTAGCCAATAATTTTTAGAATCGCCGAACACAAAATTTTATTTGTACCAAAACAATTTTGGATCTTGACTACCTAATTTGTATATGTATACCTATACCTAACCTATCGATCTACAAAATCTAGGTGTAAACATAACCGCAGTTTTTGACATGATAAACCTGATATCTGAGTTTATCTTGTCAAATCCAATACTAAAAGTCAAAGCCAATACTAAAAGATGGGTTAATCTTTCAAGAAGTCGCTATTTTTAACTGCACTTTAGACCACAGGTGAAACCTATCCTATTCAACCAGTTGGTATTTTCTGTACTCTTAACATAATAACATACAAATTGATCATGAGAAGACTGGTTGTGAGAGATACTGATCAATGAGGTATCGTTTTGATCCTGGAATTTGTTGATGATTAAGGCAAAATGCCAACTGAATAGGGAATTGTTTTCTTTTCAATACAAATGGTAAATCCAGCATCTTAGAGAGGATAATGTTTATATGATGATTTTTTTTATTTTTATGAAATTGCATTGTAAACCTTTCTCAGTCCATCAATATCGACTTTGATCCAAGTTACTGGACAACGATTATAATTTTCTACATAGTCATATACACATTTATAACAAAATACATAGCCAGATGGGAGTGCAGTTGGATTGGCTAGTCGATTTGTACATATTGGACAAGTATTTGGAATATTTGGAACTGGAAATCCACGAGGATCCGGCTAGAATAAAAAACAATTGGCAATCTTAATTGATATTAAATGTCATTATGAATCCAAAGAAAATAAATAAATACCAATAGTCTCTCGGGCGGGGGAATTTCAATTCCGCTGTCACCACCTGGTTTACGCGTAAACTCGCTTGAATACCACCACTCCAAAAATTTATAAAAGAATATCGACATTGGCAGTAATATTTTCAATAAATCAAAACCACGTGATAAGATTGTGAACAAGAAATTCGTTCCTTTTTGGAGACGCGTTGTTGGCACACTGCTGATATTTTCACTTTCAGCTTGTCTTTGAGTGTACTCGCGCTATATTAATGTTTTTTGTAATAAAATCAGGATAAGCGTCAAGAACTGATTCAAAAAGATTGTTAGTAGAGAAATTAACACTTACATAGTCTTGAGCACTCATTCTGCGAATTTCTATCCCCAATAAATGTAACCATGGCGTATAATAACGAGTCTTTTCATACAAGTATGCAATATTATATGCCAGAATGGAGATATTATAGAAACTATTAATCCAAGGATAAATAACTTTGAAGACATTTCGAAGTATGTAACGCGTTTTTTCTGCCAGGGTCAACTATTTAAAGAAGAAATTATTATTTTTTTGTTCTTATCTTCAAATTAATATGAATTCACATTTAGCATACTCGATGATAGTTTATGTCTTCCCTTCGTGAAGTTCTGCTGCTACCTAAATATCGCGCCCCAGCACCTCCAGTAACTGATTCATAGTAATCATCTAGTTTAGTCTTTATGTACGAACTGCCAATCTAAAATATAAAAATGATAAAGAATTATAATCAACAAATTCTCATGAAAGTTCTGGATTCAATATATACCAATACTAATAAAGAACGCCATATATCACGATTTCGAAGCTTTACAAGTTCTTTACTCGAACTCTCGCCCAAGTTCATATTTGTATGAAGACTACGTATTCTTTTCAGCCCATAAAAATTTTCCGTGAACGAGGCACCTAAAATTGATATTATTAACTTCTAATACGTAACTTAATTGGAGTGCTTAAAATATTTAGATTTTACCCCATTCTTTTAAATAATGTCTCTCAACGAAAAGCAATAAAATTGCATAGAATTCGTCGAGTTTGTTAACTATGCGCAAAAGGTATCTTGGATATCGTTGAGCGTAAACCTGCCACTTATCTTTGAGTTTTTGAGATCATTGAGAGGAACCACAAAATTTAGGTGGAGACTTACAGACAAAACATATCTAATAGCTGGTTGTAGCAACTCGCGCATTTTCTCTTGCGCGATCAGTTCAAAAAGTGAAGGACGATATATATCGGCATTTGAGCCGAGGTCGCTCATAAACTCCATGTTTAAAATTATAAAATTATACGGTTGATATTCAACGTTTGATATGGAACATCTATATAGACATCACATGCTGAGAATCTGATTTGTGATTTAAAGTCGCGTTGAAAGAAATACGTGTCTGAAAATTTACACATATTCGCTACTTCATTAATATTATGCAAAAAGAGATTGAAGAACGTTTAAAGCTTAGTTCTTACGGCGAAGGTTCTCCTAGAAAAGGATGGCTTTACAATATGGGTCCGGTAAGTAATGTTTTCGCCTTTGCACGGTTTCTTTCTGTTTGGCTAACTTTCTTTTACAATAAAGACCCATGTTACAGACCAAAAGAAACGCGTATCTTTGTCTGGTTTGGACCTTTATTTCTTGCAAGAAGATTTGACTCCATTCAAATCCACCATTATGTATAATCCATATTTCTACGTTGGCTGCAAAGTATTCGCAATATTATTTTTAAATAAACACGATTGTATTTTTTCTGAGGATTTTTAACTTTTCGTAATTTGTATAGGATGGAACCCATGATAAAGTTCGAGAATACTTGACCGGAAGATTCAAAGAGATATATCGAATTGAAGAAGAGACTAGAAAACAAGATCTTCAAAAGGTTGGTATTAAGAACGTGAATATAAAAAGCACCTGCAATCTATTAAATTCTGACTAAAATTTATCTTTAAGCCAAATCATCTTTTAAATCCATCGGTCAAATATCTGAAATTATTATTTCACAATGAGAAAGATTTGATGGAAGTTCGTAAATATATTCTGCCTGCAGTAAAAGAGAACAAAAAATTGGCTGCTTCGAATAGCAATCTCGATCATAACAAAAAGTAACTTATTTTTAAAAGGATACGAGCGCATTTTTTCAATATCTCCTCTAACGCCGTTTTGGACCTCACAACAAAAAACAGGAATAATACAAAAATCGATGAATATGAAAAGATCTCGTATATGAACGACATACGTGAATATGATGTTCCCTATTATCATCGAGTTGCCATCGATAAAGGTAATAATGTTAAAGAGAAAACATCTCATTTTATTATTCATTAAAAAATTTTGATTCAAATTTAGGTATTAGAGTTGGTCGCTGGTACACAGTCCGAGCAAAGCCGAGTCATCAGGGACCTCAAATTAGTTTGACCTTGCAGGAGGATATGCTCGAAAATCCAGAAGTTGTTGTTCTTGCCTTTGATATTGAGACTTATAAAGATCCGCTTAAATTTCCTGATTCATCTAAAGACCCTATAATGATGATATCTTATATGATTGACGGCGATGTAGGATTTTCTCATGCGGTTTATTAATCAATTATTTTTTAGAAATAATGCTTAGTTATTGTTTCCGTTTCGTTTAAAGGGTTATTTAATTACTAATCGAGAAATAATCGCCGAAGATATTGAAAATTTTGAGTACGTCTCGAAACCAGAATTCGCTGCAAAGTTTCATATATTTAATGAAGTCAATGAGGTTTTTTTTATCGATTATCAGTATATTATTATCATTACAAATGCTTATAAGACCGTATAGCTAATTTATGTTGTAATATTCACACAGGTGGCATTGATCAAACGTTTTTTTCAACACATCAATCGTGTAAAGCCTCATATAATCGTAACTTATAACGGTGATTATTTTGATTGGCCTTTCGTCGCAGAACGAGCAGCATCGCATAATATTAACATTTACTATGCAAGTATTGGAGATTCAAATGAGATTTATGAGTTTGGCATTTTCTAAATGCTATTTGCGGATTTATAGGAAATTGGGTTTACAAAGGTTGAGGCAGGGAATGACAGTTATTATCATAGTAGGCATTGCTTACATATGGATTGCTTCAATTGGGTTCAAAGAGACAGTTATCTTCCGGCTGGTAGTCAAGGTTTGAAAGCAGTCACAAAAGTTAAATTAGGCTATGACCCTCTTGAATTGGATCCCGAAGATATGGTCCCGTAAGTTCATAATATTTTTCTTGATTTTTGAATCGAGTAGCAACATTAAATTAACGAATTTTCTATCAATAAGAGCTGCATTTGAACGACCACAGGAGTTGGCACAATATTCTGTTTCTGATGCGGTTGCTACGTATTACCTTTACATGGAACATATCCATAGTTTCATATTTTCGTTATGTAACTTGATCCCTCTCAATCCTGATGATGTATTACGTAAAGGTTCAGGCACACTATGCGAACTTTTGCTCATGGTATATATCTCCTTTGTCAAACTTTGATTTACATTATAAAAATTGTTCTTCAATCTGATTATTAAATTTTTGTACGAATGATTTAAGGCGGAAGCGTATCGTGCTAATATATTGTTTCCGAATAAACATGCAGATGAATTGGAAAAGTGGGATAATGAAAAACTGCTGGATTCTGAGACCTATGTTGGTGGTCACGTTGAAGCTTTAGAAGCAGGTGTATTTCGATCAGATATCCCAATTGAATTTAAAATTGATCATGATGCCATTCAAAAGGTAATAATGTTACAATTTTTATTTTGCCTGTTGGATTGCCTCATGTTTTCTTACTTTATATCAGCTTATTGAGAATTTAGATGATGTCCTGAAATTCGGCTTAGATTCTGAGAAAAGAGACGAAGATTTAATTTCTGATATTATCAATTATACTCAAGTAAGATTCAATTTATGTTTTTTGAATTCAATGGATTATTGTTATCTTGTTTCCTATGTTTACCCAGAACTAAAATTGTGTGATCAGGTACGAGAACAAATAATCGGCGCCTTACGAAATCTTCAAGAAAAGTCATTGCATGAAACTAACCTTATTATGACGCCAGCAATATATCATTTCGACGTGGGCGCTATGTATCCCAATATTATTTTAACGAATCGCTTACAACCCGATGCAATCCGCGCTAAAACAAAAAATAACTTGTGCAGTCATAAAATATCTGGTGTATCTTGCGATCGGCCTATGAATTGGACTTGGCGCGGCGAGGTCTTTTCGCTGAATAAGGATGAAGTAGAACATTGCCGAAGCTTACTCAAATCAAAAACATATGAAAATGTTAAATATACTGATTTATCGGCGGAAAAACAAAACGAGATAACAAAGAAAAGCTCTGGCAAATTCTCTGAATTATCACCATACAAGCAAGCCGAGCTAATAAAGAAAAGTGATGTCAAATATTTTGATCTATCAATAGAAAAGCAAGTGGAGCTATTAAAGAAAAGGGTTCAAGAATATGGTCGAGCTGTTGGACGCACAGTCAAAACTACGATACTCGAAGATAGGGAAGTGATTGTATGTCAACGTGAAAATCCTTTTTACATTGACACTGTCAGAAATTTTCGCGATGAGCGGTACAAATACAAACGTCTTTTGAAGGATTGGAAGAAAAAATTAGAAATCGCAAAGCGCTCCGATGAATTCAAAATTGCAAAGAATCGGGTTGTCTTATACGACTCATTACAGATTGCCCATAAATGCATCTTGAACTCTTTTTACGGCTATGTCATGAGAAAAGGCTCTCGTTGGTATTCGATGGAAATGGCTGGTGTAGTATGCTTAACTGGTGCGAAGATAATCCAGATGGCTAAACAATGGGTGGAAACTATAGGACGACCTTTAGAATTAGATACTGATGGCATATGGTGCATGCTTCCTTCCACTTTCCCGCAACAAATAACATTTACTTTAACAAGTAATAAATCTATTACGTTGTCTTATCCTTGTGTCGTACTCAATTATTTAGTGAGAAGAGATTTTACCAATCATCAGTATTGCTATATGAATAGCAATAGTGGAAAATATGAAATGCGCAGTGAAAATTCTATTCTATTTGAACCTGATGGACCATACCGCGCAATGATATTACCGGCAAGTGAAAAAGCGGATAAAAAACTGAAAAAAAGATATGCGGTATTTAATGACGCCGGAAAGCTGGTTGAATTGAAAGGTTTTGAGGTGAAACGTCGCGGTGAATTAAAATTAATAAAGATTTTCCAAGAAAGTATATTTCCTCTTTATCTTAAAGGAAAAAGTCTAGAGCAGAGCTATGAAGCTGTTGTAAAAGTTGCAAATAATTGGCTTGATTTACTTGAAAACAAAGGAGATGGTATGAACGTTGCGGAACTGATCGAGTTAATTTGCGAAGGCAAGAACATGTCGCGCACGTTAGAAGACTATGGGAATGCAAAATCAACTCAAATTACGACCGCTAAACGTCTTAAGGAATTTCTTGGCGCAGAAATGGTACAGGAAAAGGGATTAGCGTGTAAATTTATTATCGGAGCAAAACCAAGCGGTCTTGATGTGAGTCAAAGAGCGATTCCAATCGCAATATTTTCTGCAGATCTCCCGGTAAAGCAATATTTTTTGAGAAAATGGTTAAACGATCCTAGTATTCAGAATGTCGATATACGTGATATTGTAGACTGGGGGTACTATTCGGAAAGATTAAAGCGCGTGATTCAAAAACAAATCTCCATCCCAGCTGCTATGCAAGGACTGCAAAATCCTATTCCAAGGGTTCCACCTCCAAAATGGCTCATAGACCAAGAATATGAAAAGAGTAGTAATCAACTTCGTGTTGACGATATGTTTGTAAAATTGGCGAAAGATTCTGTCGGAAAAGAAAATAAGGTATCTTTATCTTCTCGTTCGGATAATTCCAATAACATGGAAATCATAGATGCAGTTGATGAAATGGAAATTGATGAAATAGACAACGTCATCGAGTCTTCTTTCCGCAAGAGGAAAAGTCTTATTGATATAAATAAAAATTCAAAAAGAACAAAGGCTCAAAATGATATAATCCAATTAGACGAAGATGAAAATGAAAATGACGTTTTTCAGGAAGAGACAAACGGACAGAACAAAAAAACACCACGAAACAAAACTAAAAAATCCAAAAAATCGGGATTACAAAATCAACCACTCATCATCTCTCAGTTTGGATTGGATTCAAGTCGTCCAAACGATATCATTATTTTTCAAATCATTCCTACAAACATTCCGGGTGAATTGCGTGTCTTTGCATTTGCAAGAAATCAGCTATATCCGATAACTCTCACAGTACCGCGTATACTTTATGTTAATTCACGTATACCAGAACTCGCAGATAATATCAAAGATATGTGTGATCAAATCACCAAAGTCAGACGTACTTTACCTGGATCACGCGTACTTAATCATCTCTTTGAATTATTCATTAAAGAGAAAGATTTTGAAAAGAATCTCGGTATTTTAAAGAGGGACAATAGTCTAGAGGGTGTTTATGAATCGAAAACACCTTTGACACAAAGGGCTATTAATAAATTAGGATTCTTGTGCACGGCTAATGCTAACGGACAAAGCCTGCTTAATACTAGATGCAATCTCATGGATCTTAAAGTATCAAAAAGCAAAAATTCCAGTATCCCGCTTGATAAGCTTTCCTACTTATATATTATACATATTGTAACTGAATATGGTGTTATGTGGGCATTGTTTCACTCTAAAAGAGAGGAGATGCAATTTTTCATTCTTAATGAGCACTCAAATCAAATAATCACTGATCTTACAATAGAACATGCTTATGAAAAAATCTGGAAAGATGTCACCGAAGAGAAAAAAGTTATTTTAGAGTATAAGCCATCTTTAACGGTAATTAAAAGAAACTATAGTGATTATGATGACGTTTCCAAAGATATTTCACATGAACTGCGACAATTACATGGACCAACACTTGTGATTATCCAGTCTAAAAAGAATAGACCTTTAGGTCGAGAAAAGATCACACAATTTCCGACTATCTTCATGCATCCTCCGAAATTGATTAAAAAACAATTGAATCCATTAGATTGGCAAAGAAAAGTCGTTGAGGCAATCTGTCATAATTATTTTGAAGTGGGATCTTGGCTCAGCCATCGAATTGATATTGCCAAATACACAAATATTCCTGTATGTAATCTTCCAAAAGATTGGCAATTGTATGCGATGGACGTCCAGTTTTCAAGAAACCTGCAGAATAATGGGCAACTTTTATGGTGGTCGACGTCTGGTGAACCAGATTATGGGGGACATGAATTTGATAAAAATTCATATATTATGGACATTTATTCTGCTACAGAATTCAACAATCCTGGCTATTATAAGACAATATGCCTCGACATGAAGGTTCATGATTTGTTGTTCAATGCAATATTGATGTATGAAAAAATTTCGATGCCTGAGATGCCTGACTCGTTGAAGAGTCTAAGGATCACGGTTCAAAATTGGTATTTTGATGCTTTAACACAGGGTAAGGAATCGCTTGACAAAGAAATGAAGAGTCATTTTCATCGTTGGCTTAGTTCTACTGAAGCTAATATGTATGATCCGCGTCTTAATGGAGCTGTGAAAAGATTGATGACCAACGTTCTTTGGGAATTATATAATCAACTTGGAAAAGTGATCTTTATTGATTTTGGAAGAATAATAATTGACACTACAAAGTCTAAAAGCACCACTCAAGAAATTAGCGAACATTTCAACAATATTAAAAGTGATATAGCAAGAACCGATCGTCTTCAGACATTAAAGCTCCAGCCTATTAAATTGTGGACACAACTTTTATGGGAAGACGCGTCAAATTATGGAGGACTCTGCATGAGCGAAGGCAAAAAAAAGGAACTTCAGATGTCATGGAACATGGCGAGTTATCTGCCTAAAGATTTGGTCGGTCCTTTTGAAAATACTATAAGATTTTTTATCATTAAAACATCCGAGTTTTTGATGAAGAAAAATTTTAATCTCGACAATGGACTCGAAGATGACAAAACTTCTGATATGTATAAAGATATTTTTATCGAAACCATTAACAAAATAAAGCAAATACTTTCGGCTATAAAGTGCCAAGAAATCAAAGGGATAATCTATAAATTTCCGGAACTTCCTGGATCAACATATCGAAGAAACAACGTTGCACTTGAATTTCTCAAGTACATATTTCGAGTCTTTAAATTGGATCCCGAGCTTGAAGAATTAGCGGACGATGAAAAGCAAAATTTGATGAAAATTATTGAAATTAGTGCATTTAGTGACATCGCCAAATTTACTAATCCAGCTGGATCATTAAAGATACCGATTTCTTGCCACGAATGTGGATTCACGCGTGATGTTGATCTTTGTCGTGAAGATTATTCGGGGTGTATTTGTAAAAAACCATATAACAAGGACATATTTGAAGAGAATTTGGTGGCATGGGCGGAGCGTCGTATAATGGCATTGCAGTTGGTAGATTTAAGATGCGTTCATTGTAGAAGACCAACTAAGGATCTTCAGGATAATTGTTATTGCGGTAATGCTTACAAGATGGAACAGGATCGTAATGTGTTAATAGAACAATTACATATTCTTGCTGAAATATCTAAGCTTAATAACATGATTTTATTGAATGAAATTGTGGGTAGAACTCTTAGATCATGATAATGATAAAATAGATCATTAAATTAACATTTACAAATGATTATATTTATTAATTTTGTCATAAATTAAATTTAAGTAATTCATACAATATATCCTCTAGTTAAGTGCTTTTTTTGCTGTGAAATTATTTATCGTTATTACGGTAAAGTAAAATTTGGATATCATTATTGAACTTGGGCAAATTCTATGGCTATAAATCAAAATATCTTTATAACCCGATTCTAATTTGGACTTCTTCGTAAACTTTCATAGCAGATTTCATTTTTGATATTCAACTATACAGTCGTAACTGTATACGGGACCCCTAAAAAATTACGTTCTTATATGGAGGGAAATTTAATGGTTGGTTTTAAAATTATTATTTCGGAATGTTCTTATATATATATAGGCATAACTGTGGGAGTTAACAATTAATTTTACTATTTAGAAATTATCCAATACGCGAAAGAATTATTTCACATAATTGATCGCGCATAACATTGAATGTAATATATATGAACTCTCAAAGAATCTCAGCAAATTTATTCCGTCACATTAAGACAAATTAGTACTAACGTTAACACTTAATTCGCAATATGAATTGACCCCATTTTGATATGAACTATTAATTGATCGAGATTTTGGGATGTAGCAGTTTTACGGCCCGATTTCCCATTAAAATATTCGGTTACCGGTTCCTATACTGCAACATAATAGCTAATCTAGTGAGAATTTAAGAAACACAATCTGTTCCCCCGTATGGCAATACACTTTCTGTGTAAATTTGAAAGGGTACCGTGGCATTTCCCACAAAAATTTTTGATCAAAGAATCAATGATCAAGATTTTGGGTCATGTTATCTATTTTGTTGTGATGTTTGAAAATATGGGATTATTTCTAATTGAGCTAGGCAAATTTTATTTAATTTTTTATTAATTGAATGAAATTTCGGTGCCAACTCCCGTGAATTACTGTTATTGTAGGAATTATATATCGATAAACGTGTAACTAACTAAATTCGGATTTTCTCTTACTCACATTTTGAAGAAAATGATGCCCGAAAGAGTCCTCTCAGTTAAAGAAATTGCAGAACAAGCCAATCATGGTGTTAAAGTCTACCCAAACATTTCGCTTAAAATGCACTTGCGCACCGTCAATACCTTGGCTCAGCAGGTAATATTGTCGCGCGTGCAACTTTGAATTGTTGAAAATGCAAGTTTAGCTAAAGAATTCTTGTGTATAGGCGAATAGTTATAAGCAGGAAGGAAATTTTCAAGAAGCCTATAAGTTTTATATGAGATTTGCAATGTAAGTTGAATTCTTCGGATTTCGTTTATTGTCTGTTGATTCCATTCAAGTAATGCTAATATACAGAGATACAATAATAGAATGGCACTTGAAAAATTACCAGGCGAACATCCAGAATATAAAAAACCAAAATATAAAGCCGATATAAGCGCGTTAAAGAAGGTTGGTAATGACAATTTCCGCATCGAACATCCTAAAAATTACCATTGGATCTAAATCATAGCCCGATCATACATTCAGAACGCCAATAAAGTACTCAAAGAGATTGAAAATTTGAAACCGGCATTGATCGAAAAATACAACAATCACAAAGCCAAAGAAGAAGCTCGTAAACAGAAACTAGAATTACAAGAACAACAAGAAGACGAAAATATCAAACAACAAAGTCAGCCGGAAAGCTCTAAAGATCATGTGCATACGACTACAACTGCAATTGCTACCTCGACGTCATATGAAAATTGGTCGCTGACTGAGGAGCTTAAAGACTTGCATGTAGGCGAAAGTAATGTTACGGTCGACATATCGTATCCTTATTATAGGTCTTTTTATGGTTTTCTTATATTTTTATTGAATTTTTGTAATCCGTAACTATGAATATAATTCGATGAATGGTGCCCCAATGATGATATTAGCAGCTATTCAGAAAATAATGAGCCGGTAGGTATGAAATGTTGATGATTCTTTTATTTTATTTACTTGTAATACATGAAAAACTAGATTTGAATATTTTATCATTTAGAAATTATCTTATCCTGGAGTATCCGATCATAATAAAAGTGATGGGTATGAAACTATAAAATTATTTTTTTCTTATTATGATTTACAAAAAGAATAAGAATTGATAAATGTTTTGTTCTTGCAGCTTCACGTATACCGTTAATCATCAAATAGATTCTTCAGTCACACCTCCAAAACCACCTGCGAAGATTCCTCCACTCAACGATAATGGACAATCAATATTGCATTACGAGGCTCAAACGCAACACGTGGTATCTCCAACAACTTATGAAATGCCAGTGCCAGTAATACCAGAAAAGCACCCAATTATACCAGAGAAACAACCAATTATACCAGAGAAACAACCAATTATACCAGAAAAATATCCAATACCTGCACCTTCCTCACCAATATCCCCACCTTCATACTCAGTCATTGCGCCTCCTGCTTTACCTCCAAAAGTTCCAAATGACATTCAAGATCAATTATTTCCAAGGCCTCCTTTACCTCCCAAACCTAGTGAATATCAGATTGATGGTTACTCCTCAAATGAACTTGATCTACCTATAAAAGGGAATAGTCTTGATTTCATTCATGGTATTAAATTCTATGGATTTTTCTCTCCGTGTTTATCATTATTAGAATGTAATGTATTAACGTCTGATATTACTAAATAGAATTCCAAGACTATACAGAAGGTGGCGAACCTCTTCGTCGTATTTCAGTACCTTTTGAATTAACCAAAAAATTTTTGGATATTGCTTCGCAAAATACAAGAAATAATTTGGAAACACTTGGAATTCTTTCGGGAACTTTGGTAATAATCAATTTTAATCCTTATTATTATTAACAAATATTCAAGTTGTTCTAATTAAAAGGCAAATACTATTATCGCATTTAGTCGCAAAATGCCTTCACTGTTACAACGCTTATCGTTCCAAAACAAACCGCAACATCAGATACTTGCGCGGCTATGAATGAAGAAGAATACTGTGAATATGAAATTGAAAATGGTTTACTGGAACTGGGATGGATACATGTAAACCTAATTACAATAAACAAATGCGTATTTCATTTTTCTCAATGAAAACTCATAAACTTTTCTGAAAAAATTTAGACGCATCCGTCACAAACATGTTTTATGAGTTCGATGGATTTGCACACACATTCTTCTTATCAGTATACGTTACCAGAAGCAATTGCAATAGTGTGTGCACCAAAATATAATGAGTAAGAATTTTTCTTTATATAACAACCTTGCAATTTAAAATTTACTAAATATATATATTGTTTCATAGGGTTGGAATTTTCCGACTTACCCACCCACCGGGATTAGACACAGTTATGAATTGTAATGAAAGAGGTTTTCATCCTCACCCTAACGAGACTAATATATGCAAGGTAAGTTTTTTAAGAGAATATATGCTTAAGACGATTATTTAAATTTTGACGTATTTATCTCGCATTTTTCTTAGAACATTAGTGACTTACCAAGTCACGTTGTGATGAAGGAAATGGGGTTAACAGTTGTTGATTTACGATAAAATAAAATGAGCCCAAATACACATTTTATTCATTAATTGAAGTAATTTATATTATAGATTTATTTATTATTTGTTTTCGCTCTAATTTATTTGCTTTGATTTTTCGTCACGATATTTTAGATAAACATATCTTTCACTAAAGTAAAAGTATCTTGTAATGGATTCTAAGAGGATAATGATTTTTATATCAGTAATAAAACTAATTATCAAATTCATGTTGACAATTCTGAAACTTTTTTAATAAGGATAATCTTTCCTAATAATTAATATGTAATAATATTTTAGAATAACAAACATATATATAGTTAATAGTTAATAGTTTGTTATTTTAATATTTATTTGACAAATAACTTTCAAGCAACTGAAAAACTTGCTTTGATATGAGCAAATATATTAATTACTAATTGAAATTTTACTATAAAATTGATTATATTATCACTTTTAAAAAGCAAATTATATAATTTAAATAATAATAATTTATTTCACTCAGTTCAAAATTATTCAAATATTTGTTCAAAAAATCTATTCAAATAATATAAATATTTTTATTATATCTTATTAAATTTATCATAAAATATTCTTTAAAAAATATTAAAATAATAATAATATTTATAATAATTTTTTATTTAACTAATAATTTTTTTATAAAATACTTCTTAATAAATTTTATTTTAATTTTTAAATTTTTATAATTATTTAGAAAAAAATTATAATTTATTCTTAAAAATATTAATTTTCTTTATTAATAATTTTATTTTTTTAATTATTATAATATTATTTAATATTAATAAATTTCTTTAATACTAATATAAATTTTAAAAAAATGATAAATTTATAATATTTAACTTTCAAAATTATAATTTTATTAAAAAGTTATTTTTTTAATTTATAAAATATAAATAATTTAACTTTAATTTCTTATTTATCTTTAATTTATTTTATATATAGTAACTATTAAAAGTAATATAATACTTAAATTTTTTACTAATTATAATTAGTAAAAAATTTAAGTATTATATTATTTTTGATAGCTATTATATTTGAATTAAATTCTTTTATTATTATATATATTAAATTTTTATTATTATTAAAAAATATATATATTAAATATTCTTTATAAATAAAATTAATCTTTTTTATTAATAAATTTTTTATTATTTTAACATTATTTATTATTTTTAAGATTAGTTTCTAAATATATTTATTAATATTTACATAATTAAATTATTAATAAATTTTTATTTGATCTATTCAAAATTATTTAAAAATTAATTCTGATTATTTTATATTTATAAAATAATAAATTAATTTAAATTCTTAATAAATTTTATATATTCTTTTTATTATTATTAATATTATTTTTTTAATTTTTTTAATATTAAATTCAAAATAAATATTTAATAAGTTAAATATTATTATTTTTTATTTATATTTATTTATAATTTATTATTTTTTTTTATTTTATTATTTTATTATATTTATTAATTTTATTTTATTTTTTTAATTTTAAATTTATAATAAATATTTAATTAATTAAATATTTAAATAATTTATTATTTTTTTATTAATTTTTTTATATTTTTTATTTATATTTTTTTTATTTTTTAATTACTTTTATATTTCTTTTCTTAATTATATTTTCTTTTTTAATTATAGTAGCGATCAAAAGTAATGACTCAGGGACTAAATTTATTAATAAAATATAATGAAAATTGAAATTTTCTCTCTATATAAAAATTAATAATTTTAATAAGAAATAATTTTTATTTTTATATTAAAATAA